ATCTTAGCTGATCAGTTGGTGACAGTTAGTGATCTGTCAATTTTGCATGCTCTGAAAGAATTTACCTGTGTGGCAGACACAGAGGGAGGCCAGGAATTACTATTTAGGAGTACTGAAGACAGCCCACAATGCATTTTAACTCGGTTCTTTTATCTGTAGCATTCTGGCCTCCCTACAAATAGTGGCGTTCTAATCATTTAATCAGCCTTCCATAAAATTCAGTTCCTCCCAGGAAACTTCATTCACGCTGTGTGTGCAGACTGGCCTCGGACTTGCACTAACCCTGCCTCAACCTCTTGAGTCCTAGGATAGCAGGCATAGACTATTGTGCCTGGCTCAGAGACTTCATTCTTATCCTCTGCTCATAAAATGAAAGACATCCTCACCTCACCCATAAATAATACATTACATATATTTCTCATTACTTATAAATAACAATGTTCTTTAAAATAACCACTACTGGGCCTACAAAGATGGCCCAGTGGTTAAGAGCTTTTGCTGCTTGCAGACAACTCGGGTTTGGTTCCCATCACTCACGTGGTGGCTGACAGCTGTCTGTAACTAGTTCCAGAGTATGTGGGTGTCTTTTGCTGGCCTCCATGGATGCTATACACGTGGTGCACAGACACAGGCTGGTAAAACATTCATACCCGTAAATGAAAAAAAAATACTCACAAAGCTGAGGCAGGAGGATTGCTCTGAGTTCAAGGCTACCCTGAGCTACAGGGTGAGAGCCTGTCTCAAAAAGAGGGACAAACAAACAAAAAACCAAACAAACAAAACTAGCAAGTTGATAGGATTCCAGTCAGAAGCGAATTGGTATTTTGGCCATCTGAAGCAATTCTAGCAAAAATAACTTGGCGATTTCACTAGCTATTTTGACGAAGTAAGAATGCTACGCGTTTTCAACTGTACTGTATTAAGGATGTGTTTATGTAAAGGTCGATTGAGTGCAGAAGGCGGCTTGACAGGTCCTCCGGGTCGATGACAGTACGCAAGCACTTTCGTTCTTTATTTCAGCCCCTGTACTTCTCCAGAGAACCAATCAAATGAGCACTTTGGTGTGAAAAGAACTATAACCACAAACTATCATATAAAGGGAGTGCTGAAATGTTATTGATTGTTCAGACGGCCTCATCTGTCTGAAACAGTTGTAATTCCTCTCATCGCCTATAATAATTACTGTTGCATTTTATCTGCTTTCTTTCTTTTGAGTTTTCGCATTAGAAGCAATAATGACTTCAGTGAAAGACAGTTTGTCCTACCCAATAATTCCCCCGTAATGGCTGCACTTTCGTTCCCTTGCTAGAACAGACAGAATTGAGGATTGCTGAGAGTTTGTTGTTCACGTGGAAAAACAAAACATGCTTTTTATCAGGCTTATAGAGGGAGTTGCAAGTAATAAGAAATATGTTTCTTTCTCCAAAATAAAATATTTCAAAGTCACCCTAGACATTAACTTAAAAAATAAACTTTCCATTACCTAAATGTTTATTTCTGTGCTAGTGGCAATATGAATGTGAGAAACAGGGACAAATCATAGCATGTACACAAAATACATTTTTGGTGAGCCTTCGAGTGCTGCTTTTGACTGACTGTTTGCTATCTGCTGTGTCTTTATGGGATCCATTGCCAGGGGAGAGACTAGCCCCAGTGGGTGCTCCACATACTTTGCCCCCAAGAGCGGAGCATAGATCATATTATAGAGTTGCTTACTTTAACACGAGTGCAAAACTAGGTAGCTCTCACTAGCCTAGCGATATGTAAATATTTGTCAGAATTAAAGGACATGGTTATTACTTTTGAACAGCATCCCGAGGGCATCCTGTCTCGGCTATGGCGTCATTTTTAGGCGTAGTCTTTTTAACGCTTTTAGCGTCTTCCCTTAGAAGTACTTAGCTCTCTTGCTGCCCAAGTTCAGCGTGGCTGCTCTCTTTCTTCCACATGTTGTAAAGACTATCTTGGTTCACAAAGCTGCTGTTCATGAGAAGAATGTCTATGAGACATCGGGACATGCTTCTCTCTGACCGGAGCTGACTTAGTAATCTTATCTCCCTTACCCCAACTATGCAGAAACTAACGATCTTTGAGTGCCCTGTCCTCAGGAAAATTACTTCAAAGTCCTTTACTTCATTGGAGGCAAATTGTTCATGTAGGGTCCTATAAAGGGAAGTCAGTCCCGCAGCCAGTCTCCCATGCGTGGCCTCATACACCTCCTTTTTGGTCCCATCTAGGTCATACACTATAAGTTAAAAGTCTAACTAATATGTAAATACACCTTTAAAAAAACTACATTTAATTCTACCAGAAAGTCAACAAAACCCAAAGTAATTTCAGGATGGGCTCATGTGTTGGGGAAAACAATAACTGCAGTTTTACTTCTTGTAACTACACATGTTTAGAGAGTCCCTAACAGCAGCTCTTGGTAGAGCAGCGTTTTGAGGTCAGGTTTGAAACTTTGCAAAGAAGTCAAAGAGGCTCCTTTTCCAGTTTCGGTGTTGCTGGAACATGGCCACTGGGCAGAGTTGAGGCTTAGGCTCCAAACTCCCCCTTAGGCGGTGTAGAATCGATGCTGTGAGCTCAGTGCGAAGGCTTGCAGTCGGCGCACACAGCTGTAATCTATGGCTATGGTGGAGGCTTAGCTAGAAAGGGTAGAATCAGCGTTGTAGATGTGGTGATGGATATATGTCTAAGACAGCTGCAAGGAGGATCAGCAAGCACACCACTAAAGTGCCCAGCATCCCTAGGCATCCAGTGGTCATGGTCGGCGGCTGTGCTGTGTTGGTACTGAGAGATCACGCTAACCGCGAGAAGACTTCCCTTCTCCCTGCTTAGTCATTTGAAAGTAGAAGTAAAAACCTTCAGAGCGAGCAATGGCTTCTAAAAGGAAAAGCCCAAGCATCCTTCTAAGGAAGTCATCCATCGGCTCTCTAAAGGAGATACAGTGTCCTTGCTACTAAAATCTGACAGAGAAGTTTACACCAGAGACGTGTGGTTAAATATGCTGATTCTAATTTCCTGCAGCGTTCCACAGTTAGGAAGGCATGGATCAGTTTTTATATTCAAATATTTGTGCAAAAGTCTCGTCACTCCAAACTTTGCTTCCTGACATTCATGACTCACATTCTTTCCAGCCCCTGCTTTTCCTCCCACTGCAACGCCGTGGAGGGATGGAAAAGGGGGCTCACAGGGAACACTCAGAGCAGTCTATATGCTGAGAGATTCATTTATCTCCCATAAATAATATTCAATTATTCCAGAAACTGCTCTCAACTGGAGTTTGACAGTAATGGCTGCAAGAGAGAAACAGTCTGAGGAAGCGAGTCTAGAAGACACTTAGAAAAGAATAAAAATAGGAAATCCTCTGCCATGCATATGCAAATCAAATTTAAATTTGGATTTGCATCTTGAGCCTGCCAATGAATCTTTCTGGAGAAGTCTTTTGATCTCCATTCCTTGATTTATTTGCCATGGTTTTTTTTTGATTTATGTATTGTATACCATATCAAACTGTGCTTTTTTGTATTTATTCTTAATATTCAGGCTTAGAAAGTTCACATGTGCTTCTGTTAAAGTCCATAGTCACTTTAATGAAACAAACTAGAAAGTATGGTGTGTCATGATTCTTGCACATCATAGCTTCATCGCAGACATGAACTTGATTCTAACATCTTCAATTCAGAAGAAATGTAGAAAGAAGAATAAATTTGATGACCATTGTGGAATGAGATTGGGCACATGGAGACGATGTTTCAAATCCTTCAGTATTCATTGTTCTTCTTAGCACTAGAAATCCAGAGTTTAGGATTTTAAACCTGCTGGGAATAAAGACTGTGCTTCCCATCTGGATTTGCAGCAATGCACGGCCACATGCCTAAGCTCTGGCCAGTGGACCAGGGGTAAAAGTATATTAACTCCGCTATTTTCCCCGAAGTGGATGAAGAAGTGAGTTTGTGAATAGGAGTCTATTCCCTTGGTCTCCACAGCAATTCTATGTAATCTACTACGGATTTTTTTAACCTACGAGGAAAGAGTAGATTACTGATTTGAATAAGTCAATATTATATCAGTTATAAATCTTTTCTGGATCAAGATGGAAGCCCAGCTGATATGTAATTATTACAAATCTGGAGGTTGATGCTAACTTTTTTTTCTTTTTCTTTTAAAGTGCTATCATGCTTAGTTCTAGAGTTTGAGATAGTCTTTTCCAGTTGAAATAATGTCGATGTGAAAGCCAGCATATGGTGTTTGATAAATGACTAACTCGAGGGTTATTCAAGCTTCTAAGAATGGAGAAGTAAATGCAGAAATAAATGGTCGTTTGACTGTTTGATTGGAGTTTTTGATTCCCCCATTTCTGAACAGAAGTGGGCTTCTTTTCACTATGCATTTGTTCTTAATATCACTCCATAGCCGATCGGAGCTCTCAGGTTAACTAAGTTTTAGCCTTTCTCTGTCTTATACAGAGATACAACATTGGTTTAATTTAAATTCACTCTGTGTATAGTGTTACTCTGGGCGTTGACTCATTTTTTCATGATCTCTTTCCCAAATAGCCACACGCCTGGTAACAGTGCCATAGAGCCTAGCTGTGGGTCACTGGATTTGCCCAAGGCATTGGCTTTAGACTCGACTGGCTTTAGCAGATGGGCGCTAAGGGTAATTTCCACAGCTGCAGCTCCAACTCTAGCACTACCACCATCCCTTTGGACTGGATGCCCATAATTGTCCATAATTTAAGACATCTTATTTCTGGTTTACTGTAGTATGTTTTGGCTTTGGTTATGTTGCTGTTTATAGGCTGAGTGAGTCTGGCAAACCCTCCCTCTCAGGGTTCTGCTCCTGTGGAGGGAATATTCCTATCAAAGCTCATGTGTGAGATAGTAGATAATATAATAATAATAATAATAATAGTAATAATAATAATAATAGATAGTAGATAATAGATAGACAGATAATAGATAATAACAAGATAGGAACTCGGACTGTGGTTTGCAGGGAAGACCTTTGAGAATTAGACAAAATCAAAGTGTAACAGGCCCTAGGGATGATGAATTTTTCTATAAAGAGAAGAGATCTGAGCCGGGACTCTCAGCCCCTGTTACTATTTTATTCCCAATGCAACCATAGGTCACTTCAGAGTCTCCCCACAAGCAAGAAGGACGTCATCAGATATGTTGAACAATCTCGAACTTCCCAGTCTTCAGAAGGGTGAGAATAAGAGGTCTCTTTTCCTTACGACCAGTTTGTGGTATTAAATTAAGGCAACAGAAAGCATAATAAAGCTGTTTGGTCATTGGAGAGACAGATGTAGTAGCACCCTGAGACTTGAAAGGACAGGGAAAATTCATCATTTTATTACAAGTGCCCTTTTCTCTCTGAGAAAAAAAACTCGCGGTTGTCAACAGATAAGGGGATAAGGTGAAATATTTTAGGAACTAAGATTATCAAATCTGTGTCTAAAAATGCGTGTCCACCATATGGAAGATAACCTGGAAGAGGAGGTGTATAAGAACGTAATAACAGTCAGGTGGTGGTTAAACTATCTTGGGTAGGAGATGGCAGAACTTGGGGGCTGAGCCAGGCAGTGGCGGTGCATGTCCTTAATCCCACCAGCATTTGGGAGGCAGAAGCAGGCGGATCTCTGTGAATTCAAGGCTAACTTGGTCTACAGACCTATTTCTAGAACAGCCAAGGCTACACAAAGAAACCATATCTCAAATAAATAAATAAATAAATAAATAAATAAATAAATAAATAATAGGGCCTGTAGAGATGGCTCAGTGATTCAAAGCTCTGGCTACTCTTGCGGAGGACCCGGGTTCAGTTCCCAGTGCTCACATAGTAGCTCACAAACATCTGTAACTCCAGTTCCAGGAGATCCAGTGGTCTTTTCTGGCTTTTCACAGGCACCAGGCACAAGGCGCATATGTGGTTCACAGACATACGTGTGGATATGAGATCCTTGGATCTGGCTCCTTTCAGTAGTTTTCCTGAGTATGACTGAGAATAAGTTGTAACCAACCCCTTTTAAATATGACAAGCATGCACATTCCAGCTTTTGGGAATGTAGGTGTTGTTTTTTCTAGACTGCTTCCTGTTGTCTGGTAGTGTTGGCATCTTTGAGGGACCCTGAGAAAATTTAGAATAATGGTTAAGTTTGTGAGGCTGGGTCATCTCAGCCAGCAGCCTTGAAGCTGTTTTGGATGCTGGATCATTTGAGCCATCTGCTCTGAAGATACACAAACTTTTAAAGGTATGTATTAATACAAGTATAGACTGTGTATTATACACAAGTCAGCCAAAGATGTTTTTTTTTTTGTTTGTTTTATGTTTGAGCAGGTATCTTGTAGTCCTCCTAGGTTTATTTCTTTGTGTTTGTAGCTGGGATGTTCAGAAGCTCTTCCCCCATCAAATCTGATCCATATCAACCTCAAACGAATCCACAGTCTCTCCTCTTCTGTGGAAACAGAAGCATAACCTCTTCCTGAAAACAGAATAGCTTTTTTTTTCATTTTGATGCCAAGACATTTTTAAAATATATGGGTTGATTCAATGCAACAGTTTTTATAATCTAAATGTGTCTTAGCAACTGTCGTTTCTTTATTAGCTGTCAGAAACTCTAAAGACAGCACAATAACATGTTACCCATGTGTTTTCCATCTTTGTGTAGCGTTTTTCCTTTATATTACTTTACTCTTTCTTTAAGGACTTTATTATTTTTAATCTATGACTGTCTGTACCCTTCCGCTTCTCTTCCCTGAGCCTGTGTGCATTTTAAAATACACTGTAACCATTTACAGTTTTTTTCTGTCTGGATCTTTTTTCTTTTTCTTTTTCTTTTAATTGGCTTCTTGAGACAGGGTTTTTCTGTAGCTTGGGAGCCTGTCCTGGAACTCACTCTGTAGACCAGGTTGGCCTCAAGCTCACAGAGATCCGCCTGTTTCTTCCTTCCTAGTGCTGGGATTAAAGGCTTGCGCCACCAACATCCAGCCTGGCGGTGTCTTTACTGAGCATCTGTATTGTTCTTTGATTACGTGAGAGGAATCATAAACTGCTATGTCAGCCATGGGCATTGCTCAGCTTAGCGCATGGCGTTAGCTGCTTTGAGAGCTTAGCTTCATAGCAGAGGTACAGGCAGGAGCCACGTTTACCACTCTAGTTCTGAGAAGTTGTTGGGTCCACACTGCCACCCAGTAGCATGCTGCCCGCTGCTCATAAACCCCATTTAAGTGTTTGGTAGCAGGGTCTCTTAAAAGAGTCCTGCCTGTGTTTGCCACTAACACGAGCCAGGGAGCTGTCTCTTAAAGGAGCTGAGCCTCAGCTTGCTGCTAGCAAACAGAGCCCGTCTTAGAAAATATGCTTGTCAAGAAGCCGCATTTGATTCTGTTTTTGTGTGGTTGGAATCCCACCCCCACCTTTTTTTTTTTTTTTAAAAAAGCTGTCTCAGGTTTTATGTGGATCCATGTTTCCCCACATTGGGCACCATTTGTGCAATGTTTTTGTTAGGATCGCTGGCTCCCAAGTAAACCCATAGAGACTTATTATTAATTATAAATGCTCAGCCAATAGATCGAGCTTATTGCTAAGCAGCTCTTACAACTTAAATTAGCTCATTTATATTAATCTATGTGCTGCTCCGAGGCTCATTTACCTCATCCATGTACTTTTCATGTTGCTTCTTCTGAGTCCAGCCAGTGGCTCCTCTGACTCCGCCCTTCTTCTTCCTCCCAGTGTCCTTAATCTGGTTTTCCCCACTTCCCTTACTGTCCAGCTATTGGTCAGTCAGCTTCTTTATTAAACCGTTTCCAGTGACATATATTCACACAGTGCGAAGGTGGTGGTTGAGACCAGGGAAATGAGTACGATCTCTGAGGAAGACCGCATAGGTTGAGAGTCACAAAACAGTAAATCACAGGGTAGAAGAGGATCTTGAGAAAAGGAAAATAAGATGAGGTAAGAGAAAAAATATGGCAGAGCTAGGAAGGAAATGGGGGTGCAGTTGCTTGAGTTTGGGTCTGGTTTGTCCTTCAAGGGTTCGTGGGTTGGAGACTTGATCATCAGCCACTGGTACTGTTGAGAATCCACAGAACCTTTAGGATGCGGAGCCTCCTAGAAGGAGAGTGTCTCACTGGTAGTGGACTCTGGGAAAGGATATTTGGACCCTAACACCTCTTACTCTTTCTTCTTCCCAGTCACCATGAAGGGAGCAGTTTCGTTTCAACATAAACCTTGGCCATAAAGTTCTATTTCACAACAGAACAACAGAGCAGTGGAACCAGGCTAGCCACCGACAGACACCCCCAAAGGTGGGAGCCATGCTCATTCTTTAAGTTACCACCTCATATACATGTTGTTGTGGTGACTGAAACTAATACGGCTGCATCTACTTTTCTTTGTAGAAAACCAGTTTAAGAAGCTTCGACAGATTCAAGGTTCTGTGTTGAATAAACTCCTTTGTTTTCTTCCCAAGGATGTTATTACCAAGTATTTTAAAAACCTGCCAATTTCATTAGTGATTAACTTTGAGAATTATAGACTTAAAGTTGACCCTGGCAAAATGTAGAGGGCTATGTGATATCAAATGCTGTTCATAGTGATGCTCCTGAAGGAAGAATTGACTGGCGTAGCCATTTGGAAGAACAATGGAAGTGTAGAGGAAGCCTGATCTCTGTATACTCAGTGAGCCGAAGCATGTGCTCTTGTCTTTTATTCTATAGAAACCTCCCTGAGTCCATCAGTTAGAACGCTGAACCCATGCTTGTCTGTAGTAGCAGGCAGCCAAGTATCAGTCACTTGAAAATGGATGAAGAGTAGGTTGGGATGCACAGGAGAGCACTCCATTGTAGCTGGAAGTCAGGACATACAGGAAAATGGACATATTTTTAAAAGCTCAGTGTTGGGGGAAAGGGAAGTTAAACAATGGCTTATTGTTTATGTAAATTAAATTGTATAAGGGAAAAAAAAGAGTAGTGTGACTTTTTGAGATGCATCCGTATCTGACCCACATCAGAGAAGTTGGAATGGTGTTTCCTGGGGAGGGGGAGTGAGAATGAGGAAAGAGGATGGAAGAGGAAAAAAGTTAAATGAAGATGGGATTTTGCAGAAGCTTATGGTCATAGCATGTGGGGATGAGTCAGGGTAAACTCAACTTGTGTTCCTGAGATCCAAAGGGGAAACAGTGAATCTAGCTTCTGTCATGTTTTGGATAATTTATTCTTTCAAGATTATATATATATATACATATACATATATGTATATATATAGAATATATCTTACTCATACTCACCTCTCAGTCCTTCCTTGCCTCTAAATTTCATGTCTTCCACCCATCTGATGCCACTTGTACAATCGCAGAAGTGGGACCATTCACTGGGGCATGGAGACCCTACCATTGACCACACTCTTAAAGAAAAGCAACTCTCACCCCCAAACCATTCATTGCCAATAGCTCCTCAGCTAGGGGTGGAGACGCGTGAGCCCCTCTTTATGCTGGAATTTTTAACTGACTTGATCTTATGCCCGTCTTGTGTAGGTAATCATAGCTGCTGTTAATTTATGTATGCAATAGCCATGCCAGGTGTAGAAAACAACATTTTATAACACTCCCCCATCCTCTGGCTCTTATATTCTTTCTCCTGTGGGAGATGGTATTAATGTCAAAGTCACTTATTCTGAGCACTTTGAACAGCAGTGTGTTTCTGCATTAACCATTCCCCATTGCAATACAGAGCTTCTCTAATCAAGGGTGAAAGCAATAAAAATCTATAGATACAAATAAAAATATTTAGAAGACAATTTGACAACAGGACCATTAAAATATGGGTTCTCTTCTAGGACCTATAACTTCGCTAGCCATAGTTTTTTTGACCATGTTTACAGCATCAAACATGAATCCCCTCTTGTGGAACAGACCTCAAATCCAATCAAGAGAATAGTTGGTTGCTGCCATTAGCTGTATTGCCACTATTGCAGCCATGGTTGCAATATCAGGTTGATATTGTAGCATGTGAGGCCCAATGTTGGGTATGGCCATTGATGTCCTTTCTCCCAGCAGCCTGTATGACACCTTCCAACACTAGA